AAAAACCATATGAGAATTTCTACCTCTCCAAGTGGCACCTATCTCAGTTATAGCCTGGTCTATTACGTCCATTTGGTTCTATTATCAAGGATTTCAGTTCAAGAAGATTACCAGTTTCTTTATTAAGAAAATATGAAAAGATTACTCTTCGTTTGAACAAAGCCAAATTGGATTTAAATTTTTTACATAATTGCAAGGCATTCGGAGTTTTTCCTAAAAATATAATAAAATAGTATTTTGTATTTTTAGACTGACAGTAAACTCCAGAATCTACGGTATTATCAATCACTTGTTTTATTTTTGCATTGATTCAAATACAAGGCCCTTACAAAGGCCGATTCCCGGGCCATAAAAGTGAATGGTGCGTCTTGTGTCGCTCTATTTAAATCAAACACAGGTCCCTCGCGATATGCACAGAGCAGCTGATCATTGAGGCCGACACAGACTTGAGAAAAGCGAATGCACAAAATATGTTCTATGAGGATGATTATGAATAATTCATGAGATTTTACCGAACTATCCTAGTTTAGGCTTTTAATTTTTGGTTAGGTTCAGTTGTAATCACTCCTTCATCCTGTGTACAATTTAATGCTGATATTTAACTCTTTGTTGTATATCATGTATGGTTTTAATTGGTAACCATCTGAGTTCCACATGTATCTAGGTGTATTCATAAGAGCGTTGAAATTCATAGCTTTCTAATTTTTTCAATTTGCTACACCGTAGGGGAGGGGGTTGGTTTACCCCAATGCTATGGTTCATTTCAGCCCCTCTCTACGTCTGCTACGGTAGTCACGGACCACGCCCATACACAATTCAGAACATCTGAACCAAAATTAATAAGACAAAGCAATCATCCTTCATAATATGTCCTAATTATTATTAAAATTATTAATAACAGACTTACTAAATATTATGCAGTCAGCCTGTTAAATTATCTGTCTTTATATACAGTATTTTCAAATTGCTTGCAATACAAACCAAGGTATTTGTATGAGTTATGTTCATAAATGTGGCTACTGTAAATCACATTGTCTTACTGGGATTTTTTTTAACAATTATTAAGAAGCAGAATGAAAGAATACAGTATAAGTTTGATTTTGTTCTGTTATTTTTCTGTAGAGCAGCATGTTGGCTCAGTCGGCAAGAATGTTAAGAAGCAGTGGTGTTCAGCTTCAGGATGAGTAGTAAAATTGAGAGAGTGGATAGTAACATAAGAATACAGTGTGCTGGTAAGTGGAAAAATATTTAATTTTTCCATCCAATTGTGATATAGGCTACTAGAGTGTTAGCCATATTGTAGTTAATAATCTCTGCGTTATTTGTTATAAAGTTATTGTTTAAAATATCCTCCTTTATTCATTCTTTTCACATTCTCTTCATGTAGGGCAATAAAATAATGATGTTAAATACATATTACGTGGTTCTTCATCTCCTCGGGTTTCACAGTTTTTCTTATTCTGGTTTATTATTAAAACATTTTGATTGGCAGCACAAACAAAATTCCATCAAAATTTATATATGTAAAACAATACAAAAGAAAACAGACACAAAAATAATTAAAAACAGTTGAAAAAATCAGAAAACACTAGTTTTAAATATAAAAAAATTAATATATACATATATTTCTCTTCTTTCCCCCCTCCCCTTCTTTTCTTTAGAAAAGAGAAAATACTGCTAATGAAACTGGTAAATCAATTTTGACATTTGAAAGATGATGATTTTGTTTCTAATTCTACTTTATTTTTTTACCAGAAAAATAAGATTTTTTTTATCATAATACTTCATTATACTGTATTTTTGTAACATATGCTGAAAGCAGTAAAACAAAAAATGCTGTCCAAGATTGGCACAGTTGACAAATATTTACTTGGGATGTGTTATGGTCAGTTTTATACAACTGATGATTGGTGTTGAATATATATACAAATACAAACCCTATGAAATAATGTTATTTGATAAATTAATTTAAATTAATATTACACATTTACTTTTAAAACCATTTTTATTAATGTTTAAAGTCTTAATATTTGTTGGTTAAAATTTTAATCTAATAATATGATTTTTTTTTTTTTTATTACAGGCTCTTTTTTGACTCATTTGCATAATTCACTAGACAATGGCCTCATCACAATGATGTAATGATAATGAATATTCATAGTCAGGAAACTGCAGAAATGACACCACAGCAAAAGCAACTTCTTGACAGCATATATATCTTCAGCATGTATATCCAGGTAGCGCCTGGATTACAATGCAGTGAGTCTAGCATGTGTAGCATCCTACTGGCTGACTGTCCAGATTTGTACTCATTTGCATAATTCACTGGACCATGGCCTCATCACAATGATAATTAATATTTATTGTCAGACACTTAAAACTACAAAAGTCAGGAAACTGCTGAAATGACACCACAGCAAAAGCAACTTCTTGATAGCACATTTCTTCAACGGGATTGAAGGTAGCACGTGGGTTTCACCAGAGCAAATTTCGCATGTGTAACATCCTAGCGCTTGGATAGGCTGTCCAGATGTGGACCAACATTTTAAAAGTAAGTCCAGAATTGGACCAACGCTTAAGTTACTTATATCACTAACTGCCTTGACGAACAATTTGTCTAATCATAACCATCTATTTCATGTATTTATTTATTTCTGGTTTATTATTAAAATACTTTATGTTATAAGCATAATACATACTTAAGTATTGAGATGCATGCCATCGTGTTGGGATTCAAAATTTTGACATTGTGTCATCATCAGGAACGGAAAAAATAACCATATTAACAAGTTTACAGGTATATGCACTAGTACCAAAAGTGTTTAACCAATCAAAACATTACCTCTAGTAGGTAGAAAAAATAAAAGAAAAACAAAATAAACAAATAAAAAAATAAAATAAAGTTTACCAAGTACCATAACACTATAATCTGATAGCATAGAAGTAGCTATGCTACCAGAATACTGTCCAAGATTGGCAAGATTGATAAATATTTACTTGGGATGTGTTATAGTCAAATTTTATACAACTAATGAATGGTGTTGAATAAATATAAATACAAATTTTTATATATGAAGTAATGTTATTTGAGAATTAATTTAAATTAATATTACAGATTTACTTTTAAAACCATTTTTATTAATGTAAGTCTTAATATTTGTTGGTTAAATTTTAAATTTAATAATGTCATTTTTTTTATTACAGCTCTTTGCTAGTTGACTCATTTGCATAATTCACTGGACCATAGCCTCATCAGAATGATGTAATGATAATGAATATTCATTGTCAAACACTTAAAACTACAAAAGTCAGGAAACTGCTGAAATGACACCACAGCAAAAGCAACTTCTTGATAGCACATTTCTTCAACGGGATCGAAGGTAGCACATGGGTTTCACCGGAGCAAATTTCGCATGTGTAACATCCTAGCGCTTGGATAGGCTGACTGTCCAGATGTGGACCAACATTTTAAAAGTAAGTCCAGAATTGGACCAACGCTTCAGTTACTTATATCACTAACTGCCTTGACGAACAATTCATCTAATCATAACCATCCATTTCATGTATTTATTTCTGGTTTATTATTAAAATACTTTATGTTGTAAGCATAATACATACTCTAAGTAATTGAGATGCATGCCATCGTGTTAGAATTCAAAATTTTGACATTATGTCATCAGGAATGAAAAAAATATCCATATTAACAAGCTTACAGGTATATGCACTAGTACCAAAAGTGTTTAACCAATCAAAACATTACCTCTAGTAGGTAGAAAAAATAAAAGAAAAACAAAATTAACCAAATAAAAAAATATATTAAAAAAAAAAAATTTACCCAGTACCACAACACTTTAATCTGATAGCATAGAAGTAGCTATGCTACCAGAATACTGTCCAAGATTGGCAAGATTGATAAATATTTACTTGGGATGTGTTATAGTCAAATTTTATACAACTGATGAATGGTGTTGAATAAATATAAATACAACAAACCTTAAAAAGTAATGTTATTTGAGAATTAATTTAAATTAATATTACAGATTTACTTTTAAAACCATTTTTATTAATGTAAGTCTTAATATTTGTTGGTTAAATTTTAAATTTAATAATGTCATTTTTTTTTATTACAGCTCTTTGCTAGTTGACTCATTTGCATAATTCACTGGACCATGGCCTCATCAGAATGATGTAATGATAATGAATATTCATTGTCATACACTTAAAACTACAAAAGGAAACTGCTGCAATGACACCACAGCAAAAGCAGCTTCTAATAGCATATATCTTCAGCGGCAGCAAATTTCGCATGTGTAACATCCTAGCTCTTGGATAGGCTGACTGTCCAGATGTGGACCAACATTTTAAAAGTAAGTCCAGAATTGGACCAAC